TGGGCGGGAGGGTGGTCCCCAGTCCTCCCCATCCTGCCCGCCCCCGCCCCCGCCAGCTGCCCCAGGGGGCACTTCTGAGAGCTCCACGTGCCCCCAGGAGAGCGGAGCCGGGCGGAATGGGGCTCGGGTCGCCGGGTGTCTGCGTGTGCGCGTAGGCGGTGTGCGCCTGCGCCGCCGCTCCGCATCCCGGCTGACCTTAGTTTACGGATTGATTTTCATGTAAAACGCGTTCAATCCTCAAGATGACCTCACTCACACTCTGCCCTCCTAATTTTTTTTTTTTAAGAAAACGGCTGTCAGGCCCAGAAACCTGCAAGCGCTGACCTGCCACCAGGGCCGCCCTCCCCCCTCTGTTGTATGTTTAACTCTACAACCGTATTACTGCGTTTTATTGCTGCCAAATACACAGGGCTTTTCCTGTTGCGCAATCTATCACATCCCGGTCTGCAAGGGCGCCCCTCCCCCCGCTTAGGAGAGGAGTCCCCCCCCGCGGTTCTTGGGGTCCAGCGGGGAGCCGAGCGCCCGCGCGCCTGGAGGAGGCCAGCCTGCCCTCTGCAGACACCAACTTGAAACTGTCGCGCGCTTCCCTGGGAGTCGGCCTCTCGGGGATGCCGTCAGGACTGTGTCCTTGTCCTTCCTTTTCCATCCCGCACCCCGCCCGCGGCAGGAGGCGCGCCCAGCGCGTTCGCAGCCACACAAACGCACACTTGATTCAGCTGTTTTATTGCTTCCTTCTCTGGGACCCGGAATATGCGGGGATGTGGGAGACGCCAGCTCCACGCACCCTGTTGTGCCTCCCGCCTGCTCTTTTCCTGACTCCCACGGGCAGCTTCCCGGTGCGGGGCGGGGGGGAGGCGAAGGCCCGGGTCGAGGCAGAGTCCCCAAGGCGAAGGGCTCCCTGGCCTCAGGCCTTTCTGACTCCCCATCCCCCACTTCCCGCCCCACGCCCTCTCTCCCTCCCCACCTCCTCCCTCCACCTCTGAAGTTTGCTCTTCAAACTTGCCGGACACCATTCTGCGCTGGAGCCAAGAAAACAAGAGGGGGAAGGGAGCAGGTTA